CGACCGGACGAGCGAGGAGCAACTGCAGCAATTCCCAACCGTGAAGGGGGTGAACACGGTGCTACTGTAAATCCCTTTGTGACTGAAGAAGATATCAATTCTTTGCCATATTCCCTGGTGATGGACGATAACGGTCTTGGTACTTTGGCGCGCCCCCTTGTGACTGACGAGGAATGTCTTTATTGTTCAACATGCTCTCTTGCGATTTAGGAGGAAGACTCTAGCAAATCAGTGTGCTCCCCTGTGATAAGGGTACAAGGTTTGGAAGCCACAGTATGTCGTCCTGTGACTGAAAAGGAGATCTTAAATCTTTACTACATCTTTTTGCCACTGAGGCGAGCAGACCTGATGCCTCACAATTTCCTCCCGTAATCGTGGAAGATGTCAATTCTTTGAAATACCCTCCCTTGATTAAAGAAAAAGGCCATACTCATTCCGTTTTCCCTCTTGATGTCGATAAAGGTATAACAAGCAAACCTGAAACTGGTGCTGATGATCAAGGTGCTGCAGCAGTACAAGCTGTAAGGGAGGCAGGAGAGAAAGAACCTAAGACTTGCTAGCTTGAGAGCATAAAGGATGAACAAGACGATATTGAAAAACATATGAAGGACCAAGGTGATGCTGTAGACCTTTGTGATGAAGCAGTTAATGTGCATGGGCATAATGGTTATCAACTAGCGACTGTGGATACAGAAGAAATCGGAAATTACGAACACGAGGAAACCTCCTAAGCAGCTCCTCTTGTGCAGGATTGAATCATAATAGCAAAATTTCTGAACCTTCAATGTTGTAGTCTTTTATTACTCATTGGTAATTTGCAGTTTAAATTTCGAAAACCTTAGACTTAACTCTCTGTAACTCCTGATTTTAACGTGTAATGCTCATTTTATATTTGTAATGCTTTGTTAGTCATGATAATCATTTTTACGGTCTATAAATGGAGGCTAATCGGAGGTTTTCTCCAAAGAAAAGTTGCCTATTTACTTCACTTTTACGCTTCTTAGTTTGGCGTTTATTTCCCTGTTGCACCCGTGAGTGCCTTTGGTGTTATCGACTGCGGGCTGGTAGAGACGAAAAGATACAAAAAAAGGCATCGCTGTTAAGATAATTCTTGTAACTGATTACCTCAGACATAGATAATAAATTTGTGAGTGTTAGTATAATTATAAGTAATATTTCCTAGTGCTTTAGAGAAGAAAAACAGTTTTGGTTTCTTCGTCTCCAAGCAAAGTTGCTGTTAAGAACTCAAAGTGACCGTTAAGAACGACAAACAAATAGATGTTAACATCTTTCAAGCTACTATTAATATTGACCCTGCTGAAAGTAATTAACTTGTTGTGAAACACTCTATAAATGCTTCATTAAGCTTATAGGAACTAAACTCGTTTTGTTTATTCTATCCATTGTTACAAAATTGCTGGTCCGGATCAGACAACTTTCAGGGAGAAAAACGCAAATGCGCAGAACATTCATAAAGAATAGATTGAAGAGACAAAAGGAAAAGAAGATTTAGGCAAGAAAATCTGACTGTAGTTATAAAGGAAACCATAAACTAAGATGACATTTATTATCAATGGGTGAGAATTCAGAAAATCTAGTAGCCCCGTGGCAAATTCCCTTTCGTAAACGGTCGTTGTCATTTAAAACGGTCGATGCTGTTTCTCAGAACGGTCTTTGCTATTTAAAACGGCCGATGCCAATCTCAGAACGGACGATGCCTTCGGAAAGGTCAATGCCAGGGAGGTAACCGATAGTTCCGACTCTCTGACGACATGTGTGACAATCAGCGTGACAATGAGGCGCTCGTGTATATTCCGCGTGACTAGCTTTCCCTCAAACCAACCATTTATTTAAAGTTTAAATATAATTATTTCACTTATGATATACATAAGTCAAAGAATTAAAGAGGACTGTACGGGTACGAAAATAATTCCAGGACCGCAAATGATCCCGGACCGCAAATGATCCCCACACCGAAAAGCAATTGATCCCGACTAAAAAATAAGGAATGGCATGGATTGATATGAAAACACGTTTTATTATTTTATAAGAAATATTCCACAGCTGATTTTCTTTCTCGATTCTAGCGGAAAATCTGTGACATAGCGTGACGTTCTGTCGAGTAACACAAACCGTTTTAAGGGCCGAAGATTTTGTCCATTCCAAGACTTTTAGCGTAGTGCAATAATTTTCTAAAGACATTTGTTGTGATCGTGGGCTGCGAATCTTCTGTTAATTGTGTAGAACGTTGGAGAACATACTCAATCGGATTTCAATTCTGTTGCATATGATCAATGCTTCCGGTGCACGTGTGATTTCAGTGAAATAGAGCATGTAAAAATAACAAGGACAACGGAGAATTAAAATGCACACATTGTATGATAGCTGTAAAAAAAACTTACATTTCCGCAGTTGATTTCACCGATTGCCTAGCCTTTTTAAATAACAGTCTTTCGCTCAGCATTCTCGTTAAAAATTGTACCCAGAGTGGGGATATGGCCTTGCTGGGCCATGAAGCTGAGCTTCATTACCATAGCCT